GTTGAGAACAAAACTTTACGACAAAATAGATCATTATAGCTTCCCATATTGTGCACTTTCAATTTCTGTGTAGCAACATTCCAGCAGCGCCTGCATATGGAGTATATGTCTACCAGTTGATACGATATTCCAGAGCTTGGATTTATTATAATTTCCTTGGTAGATGGTTGCTGCTGACAAAGGAACCTATTAAACCAAGAAATTAAAGTGGTAAAGTTGATGTCATCACTTCGAAAAATTTACGGACGCCATCACTGTTATGGAATATCAATTTCACAAATGACGACCGATATGTTTCAATTGTCGTAACCACAATCCCGTCTTCTTTTCCTCGAATGTGAACTACCTAATGAGGCGAATCACCTGGTTTGTACTTACATGAACAACACGACAGGTGTCACATGTGGAGCAGATTCCGGAACACCTGGGATCTCCCCGGTTTTGGAGGGGTTCGTGTTGCTCAGTCTTTAGGGAGCAACCATTTGATATTCTGAGGAGTACAGGGACGACAGACAAATGTTGGCCAACGCGTTCCTGCCCTTTTAACTAGCCAGGCAAGAAACAAGATATAAACTGCCTTGGCTCGTCATGTACATGTACAAGTATCAAACAAAGTAAACCTGTATAAAATTCAAGTTAAAATAATATTTCAAAACAACATCAAAAATATAAAAGTGTAAAAAAACATGTGTTTAATATATGCTGAAAAACATAGTAGTGTTTGTGATTGGTCTTTAAAAAAATGTTTTCTGTTCTGGGTTAAAAAAAGATGGACTTAGGGTACACATAATTACCCTTCTCCCCCTCAGAGAATCAAATGGTTACTCCCTTAATTTTCTATGTTGTGTTTTGCAGACTGTCTTTTTGTCGTTTTTCGTTTTTTGTTCATGGCATTGTCAGTTTGTTTTCGACTAATGAATATGGCTATCCCTTTGGTATCATCCGTCTCTCTTAAAAAAGGAATGATGATCGGGATAAAGTTCCTCATTTTGTGCAGATTTGGTGGCATACCTGGTGGCAAAGTATGTTGATCGTCAGGAGATCTATCAATGCTCCCTGTAGCCTCTAGTTTTCGTGAAATGCAGTTAAAACGTCAGGGTTTTTTTTCGAAACTGGTCATGGTTTTTTCAAAGAAAATTTGAACGAGAAAAGCGGCATTCCGGAGTGAAATTACATGCAATCAAATTAATGTATCAGTTTTGTTCATGATTGCCCAACTCTTTTATAATAGTAGGCATATATTTCGGGGTTGAATAAAATATTAACCGCGAGCCACAGAGTAAAACCGTTTTGCGAGTGATCGAAGAGACCGAACAAAATAGCTTCACATTTTGTCGATTGGCTGATATTTTACGATATCTATACACAGAAAAAAAATATAACAAAAATATTGATCTCCAACGCAAATTCAAAAAGGGGAAGTCCGAAAAACTGACAAAATCAAAACCCTATCATCTGTTTATCATGGTATTTCTGGTCTATTTTCTTAAGACAGATTAACGCTTAACAAAAGTGAGCTTGATAACGTTTCCTTATCCTTTCACTTTGAGACGTCGCAGCGAAGTTCTGCCCACGTCTCAAAGTTGTTATACTGGAGTTACGGAACGATTGAGCAGAGTGGTACAGTTGAAGGGAAAGACGAGAAACTATGTTACCATGCTAAGTATATGTTAACTTTCATTTACAAATATATTGTGTTTGTATAAGAATGGTCGGTATCTAATTTGTTATAGTCATTACTAATCATCCTTTTACTGAAATACTCTGTTTTATCATAGTTTATACATTCTATCTTTTTAATAATTTAGAATCAAATCCTGAACATATGTATCTCTCATGGAAAATAAAAAATCTCTTATCAAAATATATATGAACAGCACGAAATAAGTTACTTAATATTGATCACTGTAAAACACATCTTGCAAAGTTCTTTAAGTTCACTTTAAGATACTTAAACAGAGATGTAAAAACCCATTGAAATGTTGGATCTTGAGTATCAGAATATGGAGTTCGTGCGATTCCGTCAGTTTTGATTTTCACCTTCATTTGTCTCATTTCAATCGATTTTCGAGATATGAACATCGGTAAACTTCTGTCGCAGTAATTTAAATTGATTTTTTTTTAGAGAACACCGGAAATGAAAGGTTCCGCAAGTATTTTACGCAAACACCGTATTTACTATTCTCTAAACTGTGTCGCTAAGTGATAAGAAGTAACTTTTGACAGAAAGTAATGTATATCATACAGTAAACTTTTACAAAAACATGATATTTATAAAAACAAAATAAAAAAAAGTGGCATTGCAAACTGGTGCTCACTGAATTCCATGTTTTTCAAATGAGATTAATATGTTTGTAGAAAAAATAAATCTTTTATTTAACGAAAAGGATTTATTGAAGAGTATAGTCAGAAGAAGAAAAAGGTAAAAGTTAAACGTATCATTTAGATATCATTTTTAATATTTCAACAAGAAGTTGCGTTTCGCGTCTTTGAAAACATCTAACAATTTATATATTAAGGGGCGTACTCTCAATTACAGTTAACAATGCTTCTGCTGGTTCAGTCATATCCTGTACATATGCATCTCTTATAAAGATTACAAAATCTCCAATAAAAAATGTCATCAAACGCAAGAAATTAAAAACAAAAATCAATATCTACAATATTTATCTATCCCGCTTTTAATCAAAAAGTACATTTATTAAATATTCTGAATGCATCATGATATGAATGATCCCATGTGTCAAAATAAGATGTCACAGTCTGTATGTCTGATAGTTTGGAAATAAACAAAGAGGTTATGATTTTCTTATGAAATATATGTATGGGTAAAATTTTCGAAAAACTCAATGTATGAGTTCTTAAACCACAGCCGGACCTCTGTACCAAAATTTGTATGTAAATCACCTCCGTGAGCTGTTGTCTTGTATCCATGTTGCCTTTTTTCGAATTGTCTAATTTTTAAAATTGTTTTTTTAAATTGGATACCACTTCCTAACTGTACAAGAGTCTTGAAATATGGCGGATTGATTTCCTGAATGTTTATCAATTTTCGGAAAAGGTATTAAATGTCCAGAAAACCTATTCAGATTGATGTAGTTGAATTTACTTAATTGAAATAGAAAGAGAATGAAATAAACATGTACATTCAGATAAGTAATCTCTTCTTTCTCCTTTTCTTAACCATGAAGATTTCCCCAGTTTTATTAACTTCAAAAGAAATATATGTAGATTTTTTAATGTTCAAAACATTTATGTTGGACATTTAATGCTCTCATTAGTCATAAAACAAGTTTAATGTAGTCGTTTATTGCTAGTCTATAGAGTGCATGGCCTGCAGGAAATTGTTTCACAAGCTTTTTAGAGTGAACATGATCATATAGCTTTGCATAAAATGTAGATCAAAATATTATATAACAAAAGTGTTTGAAAAACTCTTTGCCATTTTGATAGAAAAAACAAGGGGATAAAACATAGAAATAAAGATTCAACGCAATCTATTCACTCCATTGATTTTCATTAGTAACATTATATCGTAATAAATTAACGAAATCTTAGCTAATTGTAGGAACACAATTACTGATTTTAAAAAAAGCAAAGCAGTTTTTGGAGACAAATCATAAAAAAAGCGAAGTCGATAAAATCACTTATCTGCCATATTTCAATGATATAATTCAGATGAAAAAAGCAATATAAATTTTATGATATATTTTCTTATATATGCCAAATGTGTCTGTTCTTTTCTTACTCAGGTAAATCGTGAATAAAACTCGTTATTTCCTTTATTTTTATAATAACAAGGCGAGTAAAATGCAAAACCGGAATTATATCAGGTACTTTGGAAAGATTTATATTCTGCTCCTTAAGCTGCAAACTTTATATAAATTATTCGACTTCGTTTAGGATCAATATCGGATAAACGATGTAAAGCAAAGTGCCATCAAATACTATTTTGTCCCTTTTTTTATTATTTCACTTCAAGACGACCGAACAACTTCTGATGGCGACAGCTCACAAATGTAGAAGTTTCTGTGATATTGATCTGTTTCTGTCTTGAAGTAACTGGAGTGAACACAACCTCATATGAAGCGCATCAACTGCAATATGTTTTCAACAAACACATATGATGCAAACTTGTTTCTACCAAGAAAGGAAATTTTACCATTTAGAAACTTATGTATGTCTCAAAACGTTTTTGCCTTTCGATATTTCAAAGTTTAGGGAATTACCAATTGTCGTAATGTACTTGATATTGGGATCGATGAGCTTCGATTGTCTTTAGAAATTTATTTGTTCGACGGCACATAACCCTATGTAGTATACGATGAATGTAAAAGGATTTAGTTTAGATCTTAAATTACATAGTACCTGGTTGAATTCTTTTTAAAACAAGTAAACAAAAGCAAAAAAAAACATAAAAATAAGAAGATGTGGTTAAATTGCAAAAGAGACAGCTATCTAACATTACCAAATGATGTAAATGTAAGCCACTATAAGTCAACGCACAGCTTTCAACAATGAGCAAAGCCCATACCGTATAGTAAGCTATAAAAGTGAGTCGGTCTAGTTAATATATCTATAAACTCGATGGTATCTAACTCCTTTGTTCTTTAAAAATTACTTTGACGAAGATCATCTGGATCATCAGTTGATCACTTGAGTTATTTATCTGAATAGGAAGTTTATTTTATAAATGTAGCTATGTTAAATTATTATATTAAACATTTTACAGTGCATTTTTCGGGTGTTTTATTATATAATGTCATGTATATAGCTGAAGCTAAAATTGGTAAACATGTTTTTGCTTAATGTTTAGACTATGGGCTACTACTGCAGTCGGTTTGAGTGTTGAACGTGGTCTTTTCCTTAGGAGTGATTTGATGCAACACATTTTGAAAACAAATCAAGCTATTAGTGTATGATTTTATTTGTAACTGATTAATTACAATCATATTTAAATAATTATCTCGCTTCTTAATGTTATTGCTGATAGAAACTGTCTACCAAAACCCACATTTGTTTATTGGATTCATAAACGAACCTCTTGGACACTGAAATGTTGATGCGAATTCTGGGCTGTTTTGGAGTGGACCAATCACTCTTAACCTAGGGAGAGTGTGATTATCTAGTAAAGGCACTTTTCTGATAAATAAAGGTGATGAGTTTGAACACCATATTCTTGCCATATTTATAAAAAACAGTTGGTCGTCTGTAAACGGTAGTCCTGGCACTCTCTCACCTATGTTTCTATCATACTTAAACTTTTTATATGCATAAAATGCTGCTCTTACACCTAAATTGTCACACAAATTTTCATTTAATGTTTTATTTCCGTTTGTAATATATAAATCTGCTTCTGGTATATGATATTGCGAGTATTGACGTACATAACAGTCAACTTTGTCTCCAAACCTTAACGCAGATTTATCGGACCAATTTCTGCGAACTAGACCCTTCCAGTTAAATTTCATTCCTTGAACATCAAACCCATGAGCGTATTCATGTCCAATCAAAAATCCAATGCCGCCAAAATTCATTCCGGGTATATAATAGTTTTCGAAGAAAGGGTCACTCATTATTCCCAATGGTATTTCAATGGATGTTGTACCCAAATTATGCCATGCATTTACTGTCCCAGGACGGAGGAGCCATTCATTCTTAGGTGGGTTTGTAAGTTTTAACAGAATAACTTTGTAATTTTCTGTTAAAGATTTCACCATGTTTTCAAAAAAAAAATTTCCCATATCAAAATGTCGGTAGTAAAAATCTAGAAAACTGCCTTGTAAAATTTCTTCTGGGAATCCTAATTTGTCTTTAATTGATTGCATTTTTTTCAGAACTTGAGATTTTGTTCTATCTGACAACCATTTTGATTTACTTATCATATCTGTAAAAATCCACCGAACATATCCTCTTATTTCGTTAACATATGCGAGCGTTTGATCCGAATCTGTTTGATTTTCTATGAATATTCGACTTGTCACCCAGTCCATCTGTTCAATAACTATATCAGTACAAAAGTCAGACCTTTGTGGTAACTTTGGTTCACTTAATCCGTTGACAGTCGCAATGTATCGGAGATTCACATATTGTAGATTTTTACTAACACTTGGCAATAAAGGCTGAATCGCTCGGAATAAAATATAATTAGCCAAAGTTCTCATTGGTGTTTTAGTAATAATTGAGCTCAACTGATCGAAATAGGGAGAATTCCATAAGACAACCTTAGTCTGATAAGTTACATTGATATTCGCTATGTTATTTTCCTTAAAAACCGTAGCCAGTCAATTTTTGGATACCTAATTGACATTTCAAGAATACTTATCTTATTATATCGAATATCTACTAGTCTTCTCTCTTCCTCGAATAACATTATTTTTGCTAATGCAGTTTCAAATTCTACAACATCACACATGTCTTTTTTGGCGATGTTAGGATGTGCCCCGAGGGAAACTGCGACATCTACTAAATATTCTTCATAGGCCTTGTTGTACAAGTTGTGTCTTCCAAGTCGATAAACCTCATGATTTGATAATCCAGAAAAATCAAACTGCCCTAATCGAGGCTGGTCTAAATATATAGCATATGGACCTTTTTCTCCAAAATCCTTTTGCACCGTCATACCAATAATTACTCCAGACATCTGGTTATGAAATTGCCAGTCTTTCAAAAGTGGTTTTGTTGCCGCTAATAAGTCAATATAATCAAAGTTCTTACTATCCCAGGTTCCTAGCACAGGCCATCCACCAAGGGCAGACAAATGTTTAAGGATAGGCTCTCCTCCTCGGATTTCTATGGTTTGCTCATCCATGCATGACTGGAATAGTTGTTTTGCTTTTTTCAGTGGACTTTGGTCACTTTGTTTAACGATACTTTGAATTTCCACCTTGACAGCACCTCTGATTCTATTACTTGGTCTGCTGAATGCCCACTGACCTCCGCTTGGCGGATCTTTTTCTTTAATATAACCACCACAAGCAAATTTGAAGAAATTATCACAAGGATTCACATTCATATCAAGTGATTTGAGAACAGTCTCCGTAACTGTTTGTCGTATAGTTGGATTTGGTTTATTTTCAATTAATTTATTTTTATTGTCCTTTTCAGAAATGGAAAACTGGTTTTCAAAACGTTGCAAGCTACCGGATTGTACAAGAGTTTTCAAGCAAGGTGATCCAAGTACTTCGTCACGGACATCTGGATTCTTGTTTTCATCACTCATGTGAACATTCTGTATAAATTCATAACATCCCACATATCCAATTGCTAAATGTAAACAAAATGAATACACAAACATGTTTCTTATATTATTATGAAACATGCAACTAAACTCATCCAGCACTCATAGATACCAGGATTGAAATTTTGCAAGACACTGTAAACAGAAATAAAATATCCGTCAATGTTACACTGAAACATGAAGAGATTTTTATTGTCGCCGATCCATCAAAGTCATTCAAGTGTCATGGTATAGATATGTAAGACTCTAAAGTGCGATGGTACTCTAAAGTGCGATGGTCACGCTAAAGTGCGATGGTCTACGCTAAAGTGCGATGGTGTCTCACGCTAAAGTGCGATGGTTGTTTGTTTGCTAAAGTACGGTGGTATATCGAGCTAAAGTGCGATGGACCAATAGGGTAAGGTTCGAGGGCTTTAAAAACGTTTAAGAACATAAGATGTAAAAATAGTCCTTTTGCAAAATCTAGTATTCAGAGGTATACCATATGTGATAGGCATTATAATCTACTGGTAGGCTGAAGTGATTGTTTCTAAATTTAGAAGACCGACCACGTAATAATTGCTAAACAGGTAATTTAGGTGTCACAAAATACTATATTTCTTGTAAGTGAATTTTTAACAATTCGGGCGTATTAAATATTGTGATAATTGGCGTAGCTTGCCATTCACACAGTCTATCACTAATGGGAACACCTCCCCTTACAGTCATCATTGTAAATTACAAATACAAAATTCGATTATTGTCGGAATATGTAACATTTTTTTGTTTAAGCTTTAATCTAAATGAGAGAAAAAGGCAATATTCGCCGGGTTTTCTCCTTTTTCGTAGCGACTACACATACATGCTATATTTTCCTATAATGTACAAACTAATATTTTAGCCGACAATTTATAATTTACGCATGCAAACATGTACCTTTATTTTACCGATGTTACTTTTTAAAGCGACAATATTTTAACGGGGACCGCAAAGTAAACTGCAACATAAACAATGATTTAATTGTATCCGTTCGCTTCAAATAAAAACACGATACAGGATATTTATGCGAATACTATTTTGTATCTAAATAGTAAAATGGTCGACTGCAGGATACAAGTTCTTCTTCCAGCTACCGAAAAAAAAAAACACATTTGCTTCAGACGTCAAAGCACGGTTAGGTTTAAATCAATTATTAATAAGTCATTGACATTTGGTTTAACAGTTTTTAATCAAATATTAGTAATTTATCTTCCGGCGTGTTCATTTTTAGTTTGTATAAACGACTGTTAACGTCATAATCAAACTACGTTTCTTACGTCTATACTTTCGCGGACCATCGCACTTTAGCGTGACCATCGCACTTTAGCGTCCCCATCGCACTTTAGAGTCCTACAGATATATTGTATAAACCTTGGTAAAAGTGAAATACGTTTTCCCTTGACCTGGTTTGAATTAAACTGCAACGTTATTGAAGCCTCTTCTATATTAGAAAATGGTATATTTTTGCCGATAATTGTTATTATTCAGATAAACTAATTCATATTCTATAAGTTGTAAATCTTTTCTATTTAGTAGACCTAAAATGCATAAGAAAGAGTGAAACCTTGTAAATAGAATGTTTTCCCATTTACAAGTGCTATCGGTTAATAGAGGTTTCCCGATTTGCTACCGTACCAACCGTAGTACGAACTGGGAGCCGTCATTGAACTTTTGAAAATAATTCATATATGTCATTAATGTCAATGTATGTTTTATGAATCATTATCAAAAGTATTTGAAGGATTTTAAGCTACAATTTGGTATTAATTTAACGTGGATATTTTACATATTCATAGCAAAAATATTGTGTGTACTCGATTATGCTTTCAAACATCTGATGCAAGTAACCGGTGCACGAACGGTTTATAATAAAGATTTATTTCCCCTGAAATTGCACAGGCAAAAAAAGCTCAATATAAAGCGCATTCATATTCCATTTGATATTCGCCTGTTATAACGATATAACAGTATAGAACGAATAGGTTGGCATTTTTGGGGTAGGGTTTTAGAAAACATGATAGAATAAGAGCTAATTTGACATACAAAATTGACCTCATTAAAAATGTATTGATGATTAACATAAATACAAAACCAGTCGCACATATAATTTCTACAAAAAACACACACCTACTGTGCAAGTCACCTTGAACAATTAAAAATAAAAAAATAAAAGTATCCTTGAACAATAAACATATTAACCCGATTGAGCAAGATTTTAGATATACAGATAAAACTTAATACATGTATGCCATATCGGTGAATAACATTTTTTTTTTATTAAATAATCAGTATCAATTCTTTATATTCTTAAATAGAATTTGATATTGTCACGTATTTGAGTAGTTCAAATTTATTATCGATACAGTTCTTATTATTTTCTTCATTTTCGCAAAAATCGTCATACACAAGTATGCGAAATTTTTCCAAAGTTAAAAGTACGAAGAAAGGGTCAAATAAAAGATACGTTAATAAAACATTCAAAGAACATGAGCGTCAGTACAATTTACTATACCTATATGAGAATTGTTCTAGTTTTTTTTAAATTTGATGATTCAAGACATTGGTTTGGTTTTTTTTTCATCGGCAACAGAATAGTGAATATTTATTTTTCAATATTATTTTTCAGTTTACTTTTTAGAATGCATCTCTAGAACAAAAATCTTCAGTTGTTGATAAAAAAAAATGAGAAGAGTGCCCTTTCTCCCTCAATTTGTAATCTCAGCTCTCTCATCCTCTGCAGAGAAACAATTCTGCTGTAATGATCGAAATAGATTACTTAGATAATGATAACTAATTTCAAATTTATGCAAGAACTCATATGAAAATTCAGTTTATATATAAGATTGTTTTTTCTATAAATAAACAAAACAAAAACCACACCTATAACAAACAGAAACGCAAATCTATATTTAGAATCTTAAGGCCGTGTCATCTGATGTCTAGTAAGGTCTGTTCGATTCATACACTTGTGCACAACTAAATAATCTCATAAAGAATCATAAAAAAAGTGATCTAGAAGCGTTGAAATCGTTATCAAATAAAAAGTTAAGCTAGTTTTTGCTGGTATGAATTTCAATTTCTTTAATTTTTTCATGATGAATAAGATAATCTCATGCATTAAATGATACCTCCAAAACAACACTTACGGTTGAGTTACGTAACAACCGTACCTGATACGTAGCAAATCGGGAAACCTCTGATATGTCCGATCATGTTAACGTTTTGTGTTATAATTATGACATAGGTTTTCATCCGATAATTGCAATCGTATATTTAAGTCGACAGTTGAAACTACAAATGTATATTCTTTGATCTTCTTTTTGTTCAAATAAATGTGTGGACACAGACTTCCATTGTCTGATGGGCGAATGTCAACAATGACGTGGGACAATAGCTCACTGGTGTTAAACTGATCATGGTAACTGCAGTTACCACGATCTAAATATGGCGGAGGTAGAAATAAGTAAAATCGTTTTCTGCTAATTTCTCCGTGTAAACGTGTTGTTTTCAAGAATTACTCAGCCGCCAGGTTGATCTGTACGGTGTTGTTGTGTGTGTGTGTGTTATAAGTATCATATATGGCCTCGTTACCGAAATAGTAGCCGTTGAAAATTTTAGGAAGATAATCGTCACTCCAAAAAAAGTTAATAGTAACTTGTGGACAAATCACTTGAAAGATAATCGTAACTGCAGAATATTTCAATGATAATAGTTGCTGATTTTGATGAAAAAGAAAAAGATTGTGTCATGATAACAACGAACGTGATAGTGCTACATAATTTTTTTTGTTCACAACCATACTCAATAGAAGACTAAAATATGGTATGAAATTATTATGCACACAACTTTTCCAATCTTTCCAACACAGATTTGATCACTTTATAAACCTGAATTTAGATTGTTTACAAATGTATGCATAGAAATGAACCAGAAACTTATAGTTGTTTAACTTTCAAAATAAAAATTAGAAGCTGTGGTATGTTTGCCCATGTGACTACTATTCACCAGAGACTAAAAGACGTAGATGTAAGCAACTACAGGTCATTGTACGGCCTTCAGCAATGTGTAAAACTCATAGAGAGAGCTAACGACAACCGCTAAATTACAGTCTCCTGACTTGGGACAAGCGCATACAGAATGTAGCAGGGTTAACATTCTTGTGATCGCTCTCCTCTTTCTTTTTATTCCCAGATTTCTTATTCTTCTTATTCTTTCTGTATGCTCTCTTCTATAATTTTACTCTGCACGTTAAGAACCCTTACAATAACTCTTTGAGGGGTCCAAAGGTGATCTTTTGCAAAGAAAAATAGTCCCTTCCCAACTTATCCTCATTTTCCAGTGGCAGTCCGAATTTCCCGACATTCATCCCGGACAGCCCCTTTAACAGGACATATTTATTGATTATTTGTTCTCGTCCTGAACGAGCATGAAATATTTGCCAATGGACTTTAAACAACCAACAATCAATCAATCAATCTTATTTCCGCTGTCAAAAAAGGCATCCATTTTTCACGTTCAGCATTTAGAGTCGAAAGCGCATCTGGAGCAGAACAATTGGTACCGTAATGTTATAACTACCATCGGGCCGTGGGGCCGAAACCTTTGTTAGTGGACTATCAGTACCCAAGTACATCACTTGCACAGTAGCCACTAATTAGAACTAGCATTAAAATACGGATATTTTTTCATTGCTTGTATAAAAGTTGAGGAATCATTCAAATTAAGGACTTAATCCTTCGTGCAAAGGTACGATTCCTTGTCTTGATTCGGGTATTCTTTAGGCCCAATATGGTTTTATCAGCTCTGCAACGTTTGTGTTAGGTTTTGACCTCGAGAATCACTGAAGAGACATAATCTGAGTTGTCGAAATACACATCTCTTGCAGCACAGGAACATTGGTACAGTTAATCTTTTAACTACTACCGGATCGATATCTCTGTTAGTGAACTGTAAGTCCCAGAGAGTATCACCAGCCAAGTTGCCAGTACTTTGGGCACGCAAAAATGGTTATTGATTGATTGAATTTTTGTTTTCTTATAAAACTTTTAAATCATC